CTGAAATCTCCTCAAGTTGTCATGCTACATATCTTCCTACTCGAGGTCATACTCCTAAAAAGCGTCTATGCTCTTTGCTTCCCAGTTCCTCACAATCTGCCTTCCAAGTCACCATTCTACTAAACTGCTCTCTCAGACATCTGCAGTGATCTCAACTGTTAAATCTACCTGCTTCTTCCTCAGTCTTCATCTTTGATTCTTCACCCTCTGACACAGATGACCACCTCCTCCTCCTGTAACCTTTCTCCTTTCTTGATTTCTGTGACTGTCTTTTTTAATTCTCCTTCTGACTCTTCCCCCCCTTTCCAGTTTGTTTGGATCATCCTCCATATTCACCACCTCACTACCCCTAACTCCCACCCCCAACCGTCAAAGCTGTTGTGTACCCTCTTCTCTATGTATATTCTTAAGATCACACTGATCTGGACCCATGGGTCCAATTATCACCATCGTGCAGATTATTACAAAATCTACATATACAGCTCTGACTTTGTTCCTAAATTTCAGTACCCTCTCCAACAATCTGCAAGACATCTTCACTTGGATATCTCTTCAAAATATCAAATTTAACATATCCAAAACTGAAAGCTCATCATCTTATCCCCAAACCATCCCTCTTCCAACTTTCCCTGTCAATACCACACTCTCAATCAACCAGGTGGGTAGACTGGAAGACATCCTTTACTCTTACCTCCAATACCCACCACTACCTCCCAATAGTCAAATTTTGTAAATTCTACTTCCACATCTCACACATCTATGCCATCTTTCCATTTCCACAGCTATCACCGTGGTTCAAACATCCACCATCTCTTTATTGGTCTCTCTGCCTCTAAGACACTCCTCTTTTCAATCCATCCTCTACTCAGCTGCCAAAATAAACTTCCTTCTACTGGTCTGACCACTTCACTCCCTTGCTCAAAAGACTTCAGCAATATTCTATTGCCTCTGGGATAAGAGAAATTTCTCAGAGTCTGGCTTTTAAGACCATCTAAAATAGGGCTACAACATACCTGTCTGAGATTTTTTTTTTTACACTTACCTCCCCTCCCCAATGCACTCTAAAATTTAGCCAAAACGGAACACTAGGTTTTCACCAAACTTTATCTCCTCTCCTTTCCTCATGCATTTGCACAAGCCAGCCCCTATTCCTGGTATGCACTCTATCCTCATCCCTAGCACTCAGAATGCTTCTTTTCCTTCTTTGTGTTCAGGTCCAGTAGTTCATCTTCCCTAATGTCTCTCCTCATTCTAGCCTCACTGTCCAGGGCTCTCCATCCCCTGTGTTTTTCTCTTTTGGTACAAACTGGTGGATTTCACCGGTTAAGGGAACTCCCAAAGAGGAAATTCCTCCTAACAATGCAGATCCTGTCCCTGTTCTATGTCTTGGGGCAGTAAGAGGTTCAATGTTTGAGCCAGGCTTCTGATTATATTTATGTCTATACAGACAGTATTCTGCTGACTATTCCATTTTGTTTGTCTTCCCCTGCACAGAGTGCACTGTTTCATACATAATGGGTGCTTAATAAATGTTGGAATTTTTTTTAAAAAAAAGAAAAAATTTTTTAAAAAAATTTTTTAATTTAAAAAAAAATGTTGGAATTACTGAACTGAATACAGAAGAGAAGATACAGTATATGACACTAACACAGACACACTGAAGAGTCCTGCTGCAACTAATTCAAATACACCTTACATGCTTCCAGGATCCATCTTTGGTGGCCTCAAAGCACTTTGCCAATTAACCCACAATTGTGCTTCCACCAGAAAGCAGCACGTCTTTCCCAAACACACAAGAAAGCTTAGCAGATTAATCAGATGGTGGAAGGAGCTCCACCTTTAGCAGAGCCTACTTGATATATCACAAACATCAAAAAGCATTTATCAAATGCTTTATTTTCTCTCAGTGCTTTCTAGCCAGAGTTTAGCCTAAATTTGATCAGACACAGTCCTGGGCTTCTGGGAGCTTACAACCTCAGCCAGACAGTATATATTAATCAGATAAACCAAACAGGTTTGCAATATACTTGATATTATTCTACTGCTATTATATCTATTAACATTCAAATATTTAATTTAGCCAGTGGGAAAATACCACCCAGCCATTTCCTCCCACCATGCTAGATGAGCCAGGACCTATCAGTCGTACTTCACTCAGTGACTAACCCGCACTTTTCTAATAAGGCTATTCTGCAAACAGAACGCACACTGGATCAATAAATTGGCAACATCAATATCTGAAAGACCCATTTGGGGGTCACCACACTCTCCAGGAAGACTTCAAGAACTCAGCTCCCAGGACCTAGTGAAGCCTTTAAGGCAGAGGTCACCGGTCTGACCAATACCTGACCTTGACTCTCTATCAATTCAAAGCTGACTAGACCTTAGGTAGACCAGAATCCAGGGGATCTACACACAGGAGCCCCAGTTGAGAGAGCAGACCCTGAGTCTGGATATGAAAGCATCCTCCTTTCAATACCACAAGAGCTTTACTCATGAACAGCAGGCATGATCCAAGGCCTTTTAATGATGTAGCAAGCATCCTTGTTGTACTACTATAACCCACCCTAGTTGTGCTTATCGCTTTCCAATCACACAAGCAGTATCAACATATGAATACTATATGAAAATGCTATATATGTGAAATATATTTGTTATATATAAGTATGCATCTATTTATATATGTATATATGTTTACTTATATCTATAGCTCTATACAGTATCTATAATATTTTAAGTCCCTAACAAATGCTTCTTAGATTCAAAGGTGATTGCACTTGTTACTTCTGGTATTAGAAACATAAATAAGAGCTGACAAACCAAATCACAGTGTTGATGAAGATTATTATGACCTACCCCCAATCACGTAGGCTAGTCAGAGATGATTGAGACCTCAGGCTTCTACAGCTGCTTCCTAAAGCTACTGATAGAATTTCATAGTTACACATGTACATATCTATGCATATGTATTGGAGAGGGCTATACATGCCCCACCTCCCACTTAGTACTGAAAAGCTATACATAAAAGAATGAGCAAGAGTCATACAACAAAGCTATCACCCCCATGTCATTGAAAAGCCTTAGAATTTTCACAAAGTACTGAAAGACTATTACTCACATGGCATTGTAAAAGGGGTCCTCACATCTATGCTGGTGTCTCCAACAGTTCTCAGCTGAGAACACAACACAGTTATCCCCAACTCCAATCTGCTCTTCCACCGGAGGGAGAGCCAGCTGTGGATCAGAAGTTTTCAAGGCCAGCTTCCCTAGAACACTGTGGAGCTAAATTCTTAAAGTCCTGTTGGAAGCTAAATCAATCCTTTCAAATGGTACACTCTACCGGCTCTTGCCATGCTTGTAGCATAAACCCTATTAGGATGATGCCACTAAATCAGCAGAACAAACTCCTAGTGCCAGGCCTTAGGCCAATGGCAGGGGCACAGAGTGGATGGAATGGATGGGTGGGATTGCCATGAGCCAAACTGAACATCTGAATGTTACAAGCATAGCATCACGCGGATGGACATGAACATTATGTAAGAAGAAGCATCAAGATGTAGAAGAAAAACCACTGGACCAAAAGCCAGAAACCTTGGAAACAAACCCTCGCTTTCTGACTCCCTGCGTGACCTAGAACAAGTCACCTCACCACTCTAGTCCCCAAATTCCTCAATCTCTGAAATGACAGAACTGGCCTGGATGATATTCTGAAGGCCCCTTGGAGTCTGAAATCCTGCAAGCTCATAAAACCTGTTGAGTTTATCTAACATACAATAAACTTTCAAGGCCAATCAGAAATACAGTTATCCTCATTTTAAAAATTAGGAAATCAATGCTCAGGGAGGTCAAAGTGACTTAAACAGCAGCATAATAAGGATTGGGAAGAGATAAGGCCATTCCATGTTCCCAATAGACAGAAGTATACAGAAAATGAGGTTTTTAACCCATAGATGACTTCTTGAAGGGCTGTCTGTATTAGACTTGTTCTATTTGGTCCCAGAGGGTAGAACTAAAACCAACAGACAGAAGTTTAAGAAAGGCAAATTGAGATTCAATTTTAAGGATAAAAATCTAACAACTGTAATTCTACAAAGGAACAGGATGCCTTCAAAAGCTCATTCTTTTTCATGGTGTTCAAACAAAGGCCAGGTAATTATTTGTTGGCGATGTGGCAGAACTTTTACGGAGGTCCAAGCTGGGCCTCTGGCACATGGTCTCTGAAGCACTGCCCAGCCCCGAGGTTCTGTTATCCTCTGGGTTGGCCAAGGTCACATAGCTAATAAGTGGTAGTTAGGCCTTGAACCCAAGAACTCAGACTCTAAGGCCAGGGCTTATTCCACTACACCACACAGCTTCTCTCATCTCATCCCTCGGCTCATTAGTCATTTCTCCCCCATTACACAGAAGGTGAGGAGAGGGAGAGGCACCAGTGCTTAGAATCACCCCTTGTCGGTTGCTACGCTTGACTCTCACAGCTCTATCTCCCCTGGGTGGTTTTGTGGACCCACAGAGAAAGAAACTGAATGAACACCTCCTGTCAGTCATCCTTCAACACGACCTAAGTCTCCCTACTCCTTCCCCCTGGAATATCTTCCATCCTCCTCTTCCTCTGTGAAAATCCAGCTCAAGTCCCCACTTATCCATGAAGCCTTCCCTCAGGCCCTCAGAACAAGAGTAAAGTTCCCCTGGATTCTTACAGCACTCAATACCTATACTAACTATTTTGCAACGGGGATTGTTGTTCTTTCCAGCTCCAGAACTTTGCCTCTATGAAGATGAGTTCATTTTAGGACAATGAACTGAATGAACAACTACCTGATGTAACAAATTTTCCCATGGCACTGGAAGCATTGGGAAGAGACTTTGTGTCAGGGCCAGTATGAATCACCAGAGAAGACCAAAAGTGCCAAAGAAAAGGTGTGAAATGCTTTTCCAGCATTCCAAATATCACTCCTGAAAGAGAAGTTTAAGAAGAGGAGAAATCAAAGGGTCTCTCTCACCTTTGGTAGAAAATGCTTCAGCAATCAGTCGCAACCTGTAAGGTGGAGCTCCCGTCAGTGCCAAGTCATCCAGGCCCACCCTATCATAAATGTTGAGCGCTTCTTTGTAATCCCCTTCCACGTAGTTCAACTTGGCCATGATCAAATTGGATTCTTGTAAGAATTCTGACTAGAAGGAAAAGGAGAGAAAATCCATTTTCCTGCAAGATTACACGTACAGCTTCCTTCTGGCCCAACCATCCAAGGCATTCACCCATGGGCACCAGGCACAGTCTGGGTTGGGGGCAGAATGGATACTTCATTAATGAAAAGAACAAGGGACACTCTCACATAGTAATCTATCCATCAACTGATCCATTTAGTCTCCTTTTTACCTGAAGATGCTCACCAGGAAGAGGCAGCTACCAGTGCAAGAGGACTTAGAAGGACAAGGGATTTAAGGTCACATGTCCCAAAATCACCTTCCTCATTTTATGGACCACGAGGGTCACCAGGGAGGAAGAGGAAGAGCCAAGATTCAAATCTAAGTCCTCTGGCCCTAAAGCCAGCACTCTTTCCGCTGAAGGTCTTTGTAACTCAGAGAGATGAGATGAAACGGAAACCAATGTTTACACTTGGTAGGTTATTCTCAGGAAACTCTTTCAATCCTTTCAGCCCAAGTTCTCAAAACTTGGGACCTGGGCTGAAGCTGAGAACAGCTTTACTTCCTGCCTCTGACCCTTCCTAACCAGATCACCACAGCCCTTTTCATCTCTATGAGCTTCAGTTCCTTCATCTATAAAATGGGAATAATAATATTTGTAAATAACTACCCAAAAGAACTGAGAATAAATTATGTATGTAAAGCATTTTATAAACCTTGAAAGTCTTATATGTACCAACTATTGTAATTAAGTGCTGTCCTCTCAACACCTTGAAAATACATGCTTCTTCCCCCATCCTCCAGTCCCTTCTCTCTTCCCCCCCACCCCCATCCCCTTGACTCCACATCCCAATCATTAGCAAAGGAAGAAAAATAAGCAATCCAGCTACTTCAAATCAGGGAACAAACTCCACTCCCACGTCTAACCCTTCTTGGAACTAAAGCTAAGTTTTCTTTATCCATCTTACATAACTCCACAGAGGCACAAAACCTGCAATATCAACAAAAGTGAGCAACAAGTTATTAACGGCTACTGAGATAAGATAGGGAAGTTGCTGCTGAAATGGTCTCCAGTATTTCCTAGAGAAGTTACCTTAGTTTGCAGTTTCTTCAACTAGTTTAAGAGGGGATATTCTCAAGGGAGGGGGAAGCAAACAGAAGGCAACTAAAGGGAAGCAAAACATAGTGGGGAAAGCAACGGATCTGGAGTCAGAGAGAGGACTTCAGATCCTGGCCTTGATCCCTCCTACCTGGGAGACCTTCAGCAAATAAATTACTTACCAATCCGGGCAAAGTTTCCTCATCTATAAAATGAGGAAGCTGGCTGGGAAGACTTGTATGAACTGATGCAGACTGGAGTGAGCAGAAGCAGAACAATTTATACTATCATAACAATAATGCAAAAAAGAACAATTTTGAAAGATTTAACTCTGATCAACACACTGATCAACCACGATTCCAGATGATAGATGATGGAGAATGATAACAACCTTCTGATACAAAAAGGATGGAATAAACACACAAAATGAAACATACACGGCAATCTGGGAATTTGTTTTGCTTCATTATGCACATTTGTTTTTCCAGTGGGGGCTGAGGTGGTGAGAGGGGGGAAAAATCCCTGATAACTGAAAAAAATTTAATTTTTAAAAAATGAGGATGTTGGACTAGATGACCTCTAAGGACCTCTAAGGTCCTTTCTAAATCTAATAATCCTATAAAGCATTACATAGAGGAAACAAGCAATAATAGTAACAAATAGTAGCCTCAGGCTAGGACAAGAAGGGACGCTTTCTATGTAAGAAACCTGAATCATATCTGGAAACGACAGGTAAATTTATTGTTCTCATTATTGCTAAATACTGTCATATCCACGATATCAATAGTTGCTCTAACACTAACCCTAAGAGGTAGAGTAATATAATTGTTATCATCTCATTTTACAGATAGAGGAACTGAATCTCAGAGCTTAAATAACTTGCCCAGGGTTAGAAAGCTAATAAGAATTATAACTAGGACTTGGATACTTGAGGACAATCTCTTATCAAAATTTTATTTTCCCTTCAGAACCTTGCACAATGCTTTGCATAGATTAGGCTTTTAATAAACATTTATGAAATTACTGAACTGAATTTCAATAAACATTTATGAAGCACTGTGTTTTATGCTGTGCCAAGTGCTAAAGGTACAAAGTCTAAAAAATGCAATGGTTCCCAACCTCAAAAAATCTATAATCTTCAGAAAGGATAACCTAGCCCTCTCCTACCTTTCCAGTCTTCTTCTGCTTTACTACTCACCACATACTCTTCAACTGTGTGACAAAGGCCTCCTATTTGTTCTACCAGCAAGACACAACATCTCTACACTCCAGGCATTTTCTCTGGCTGTCTCCCATGCCTGGAAAGCTCCACTCCTTACCTCCGCCTACTGCCTGCCTTTCTGGCTTCCTTTAAGTCCCAACTAAAATCCTATCTTTTACAGGAAACCTTTCAATCCCTCTTAATCCTAGTGCTTTGCTAGGGCAGCTAGGTGATGCAGTGGATAGAACACTGACCCTGGAATCAGGAGAACCTGAGTTCAAATCCCCTCTTAGACACTTGACACTAACTGTGTGACCCTGAGCAAGTTACTTAACCCCAATTGCCTGGCCAAAAAAAAAAAATCTTTATGCTTTGCATCTGTTACTTCTCATTTATCCTATCCATGGCCTGCTCTGTATTTGTTTGCATGTTGTCTTCCCCGTTAAACTGTAAGCTCCTTGAGAGGAAGTACTGGTTTTTTTGCCTCTTTTGTATCCTCAGCACTTAGTAGAGTGACTGGTATATAGCAGGTACTTAATAAGCGTTGATTGATAAAAGGATACTTATTACATATATACAGATAAGTAGACAAAAAAATCATTTGAGAAGGGAAAGGGCATTAACAAGGGGGAAAGCAAAAAAGTCTTCACGGAGGAGGTGAGCATTTGAACAAAGTCTTGAAGGAAGATGAAAGGTTCTGAGAAGCACAGATTCATTCAGTCATTTCAGTCATGTCCAACTCTTCATGACCCCATTTGGGGTTTTCTTGGCAAAGATATTGGAGTGGTTTGCCATTTCCTTCTCCAGCTCATTTTACAGATGAGGAAACTGAGGCAGACAAAGGTTAAGTGACTTGCCCAGGATCACACAGCTACTAAGTGTCTGAGGCTGGATTTGAACTCAGGTCTTTCAACTCCAAGCCAGCATCTATCCACTAGACCACCAAACTGCCCAAGAAGCACAGATAAAATTGTGCAAATACACAGAAATAAGTAATGCAATGTAGAGTTCAGGGAACAGCTGGCAGTACTGCTTGCCTGAAGCAGAGAGTATACAGAGAGCCTTAAAATCACCAGAAGTCTTTTGGGTCCAAACATTGTGCTTTTTCTGCTCTAGCACATGACGTCTACCCAACATCAGAATCCAGCAGTCATGAAAATAAGTAAGCTTTAATCCACGTACCCAGAACTTAACAGAAAACAGAGGAGACCTAATGGAAACCACGTTGATAAAAATCATAGAGTGAAGAGTCAAAGAATGTTAAATGTCACAGCCTCTTAGGGGCTCTCTGGCCCAACCTCCTCATTTACAGATGAGGCAAATGACTCCCAGAAAGGACCTTACCACTCAAGGTCACCCTGCTTACCGGTGGCCAAGCCACGGGTATGGCAGTGACTGGCCCAGAGCTTAGGGCACAGAAGACGAGTTTCAGGACAGCCCAGGGCTCCTGGGTCCCATTAGACTGCTCTTTCTACTGTACTAAGCTGCCAACAGACTAAAAAGAGATGAAACCTACCGTGCCTCTCCTCTCTAGTCCTTTTTCACTCATTTTTTCACATGTCTCAGTGTGAGGGAGAAGCCCTGTGGCACACTGGGTGAAGGCTTGGCGTCAAGGAAAACCTCAAATCTCACATCAAAGTACCCAGCTACGTGACCCTGGGCAAGTTGCTTAATCTCTGAGGTGAGTAAAGGCTTGTTGATTAACTCATTGAGTGTCAGTTTCCTCATCTGCAAAGGAGAGGCTTGGACTAAATGACTTTTGAGGTCTCTTCCATCTTTAAATCTATAATCCTATCAGGATCTACCCAGTTTCGGGATGGTTTTTTGCTAATTATATCTTCCCTTCCTTTACCATTTCCAGTACATTGCAAAGAAAGGAAAAACAAGGCATCTGTGAACTTTAAGCAAGGTCTAAAAACTAAACCCTCTGTGTTGTGACCATTATCCCAAAGCCTTTAGTTTTCAATTGTCACCTATATTCTTTGACAGATTACAAAATGAGTACCTGGGGGCCATGGAGAACATTAAAAACATGTTCTGGGTTTCAGAATAGGTCCTTCTGACTCCAAATCCAAAGTTTTCTCTAATGTACAAAATTGCCTCTTACAGAGTCCAGAAAGTAAAAAGTGACTATAAATTAAGTGGAAACAAGCATCACTGTTGAAAGAAGAACATAAATCTCTGAGACGGGGAAGAGTGAGAATGTGGCTGGGGCATATGGGAAAACATAGCTAGATTTCACCACCTCTGCGTGCTTTGAATAAAGAAGAAAAACAGTACTGGTGGGGAAAAAAGGCTAAAAAGGAGAAGAGATAAGGGCTAGAATTCAAATTTTAAGTTAAATTGGAAAAAATTTTTCCAATTTTCTGAGAATTTCCATCAATCAAGGAATGGCTAAGCAAATTATAACATATGAATGTAATGAAATATTATTGTACCATGGGAAACAAGGAATATGAAGAAACCTTAGAAATATGGAAAGATGTATAAACTCACAACGCGAAGAAAGAAGAACCAAGAAAACAATACGCACAATGATTTTTTGGTTGTTTGGAGCTAGGATTTCACTACTTAAGGGAACTCCCAGTCTGGAAATTCCTTCCACTAATGCAGATGAGCAACTGGTTTATAACTTATGGTCTTGGAGAGTCGACAATGACTACAATAACGTGGGCTAAACTCAGACTGAAGGCAATGATAACCGGTTCAAGAGGATAGTTGATAAAACACACCGCCCCCACTTTGGTAGAAGAACAGGGGACAATGAGGGCCTAACGCTGGCTACCCTAATAGCCATCAAAATTAGTCCCTATGTGAGTTGGTTTTGCTTAACTTTTTTTCTTTGTGACAATGTAGAGTGGGGGAAGAAAATTACGGGAAAATCTCTATGGCATAAAAAATAAAAGGCATCAATAAAACCTTAAAAAAAAAACTTTTACTAAGTGCCTATCATATACAAGGTACTACACTCAGATCTGGAGATACAAAGACCAAAAAAAAAAAAATAATTCCTGCCCTCAAGGAGCTTATGATATATTGGGGAAGTAGAAAGGGGGGATGCTTTCTAGAAGCTTCTAGAAAACAAGATAAAGTGATGTCCTATAAGGTAATGTGACTTGAGGTATGCTTCCAAGGTTAAGAATGTGTTTATACTTAGGCCTCCACACTGCCTCATCATACCTGTGGCAACTACCACATACTCTGAAGATGGTAGTCAGGTATGTGATAAGCCTATACCATGTAACAGAGTGAAACTAAGGGAATACATTAGGATTGATTCCTCATTATAATTATGTTATAAACAACAGAGTTCTCCAAGAATAGAAAGAAAAGGAATTAGCAAAATGATGAGAATAAAGGAACCCAGTAGGAAGAATTAGAGCCTCATACAATGTTAGAGGTAGAAGTTACTTTGGAGACTATCTGGTCTAAACCATCCATTTACAGATGAGGAAAGTAAAGACTATAGAGGTAGAATTACTTGTTCAAGGTCACAAAGCTAAATTAGTAGCAGGCTTGAGCATGTTTCCAGCATTTAAAAAAGAAAAAAGCCAAAAAGAAAAGAGACGTGATTAAGATTAAGTTAAAAGACGTGATCTCAAAATTTCCAAGCAAGAATGACTGTCAATGCAGATGATATGCTGAAGAAAGTTTAAGAGCCCCAAAGAAGGAATCAGATGTGACCACAATTTAAAGAGCGGTTTTAATGAGGACTTATGTAAAAACCACCAAGACAAGATTTGGGGGACCAGAGTAAAGTCTACCACGTTAACGATAATAATAGCTGACATTTCTATAACCATTAAGATTCTGAAATGTACTTCACATATATTCCCTCATCTGAGCCTCACAATGACTCTATGAGGCAGGTAACAGAAATATTATCTTCATTTTGAAGACAAGCAAACAGAAGCTCAGAAAGGTTAAATGATTTACCCACGGTTCCACTGCTGGTAAGTATAAAGAGGCAGGATTCAAACCCAGGTCTTTCTGACTCCATTCTGTTCATTTTGCTGCCACTAAGAGCAACCGATAAAATTTAACTTCAGAAGCAAAAGGAAAAATGATCCAGGAAGGGAGGAATTCATTACGTGAAAACAAAAAGGAAAAAATGTAGGGTTCCAATAGGAATAGGAACAGAGGCTACAAAGGGAAGCATCTTAAGAGGGAGGGAAGGAGGAGAGTAGAAACAAGAAGACAGGAAAAAGAAGAAAATGTAACACCAGATTAGAGGCCCATCAGGTCCAATACTAACATGAATAGAAATTTCATCCTCTGACTGTCCTCTATTTGGAACACCAGATACCATTTTTTAATAGTGTACATAATTCCAAGTAGCTTGGGTGTCAGATGAGTTTGTTGCATTCACGAGCTACTATTTCTCTAAAATAGAAAATCGTTCTATAAGTGAAACTTATGATCAACTTCTCTCTTTTACTAAAAGAGCAAAGTCTTAACTTGAACTCTGTGATACACTTTCAATTTTACTTCAAGTCTTAACTTGAACTCTGTGACACACTTTCAATTTTACTTCAAGTGATCAGGAAAGAATAGCATGTCCTTGCTATAAGATAATATGGTTTTGAAGAATCTAATGTAAAGTGACTTTAAAAAAAACCTCTGCTCTGACATAATACTTCTACAACCTTGGGCAAGCCACTTCACCAACCTGGGCTTCAGTTTCCTCACCCGTAAAAGGAGAGACGTGGTCTAGGTGTCACTTAAATTCTCTTCAGTTTGAATGAGCTATGAATCAATAAATTTAATCCAGTCTAAGGGACACTGCTCAGCCCACACTACCCACAGAGTGATTGGTAAGTTATGAAGCTAACACAGTAGAATCAATGGCTCCAACAAATCCAGCAAACAGAATCTCGTTTCGAGGGAAAAGTAACATTAAGCGGCTAGGCTACATAAAAAAAAAAATTTTTTTAATGTTTCCCCTTTCTCCTCTTGGTTTTCTTGAAACACTGGAATTAAGAGGGCTCTCAGAAATCCCAAATTCTGTAGAGATCTCAGTCCCAGTGGTATGTCTCCTCTCATTTTTTTCTACCTTCCTTCAGAGTCCCCAAAATACCTTGAGGTTCCCTCGGTCTAGTGCAGCAGTCAGGTGTTTCCGAACCTCTGTCAGCTTTGGCCTGGGACCTCGAGGGCTGGTCCCCTGTTTAAATGGGTTATCTTTCAGGAACTGTTCGAGTTTGGATTCCCCAAGGAGCAGCTCAGCCATATCATCTGTAAGAAAAAAAAAATGAAAGGTTAATCGGGTCAAAGAACTGGTTTCATGATGCACATTAGAAAACTGGAAGGCTGATGAAAGAGATACCTAAGAGAGAAAAAATAACTCCACTCAGTACCACATTATCCTCATGTTCCATGACTAATGGATGAAACCTCACAGATGATATCTTACAGTGAAAACCTCTTGGTACTTTTATCTTGGATAAGGTTAAAAAGGAAGTCAATGGATAATGAATTTTGTTCTTTAGTAAAGACTGTTACAGCAGTAGTTATAATAATTAGTTATTATGTTTATATTGTACAATATGTCATATATAGACAGGGAAAGAGATGCTAAGGAAAGGAAAAGTATGACAGACAAGATGGCACACAGGATAGACAGTTGGCCTTAGATTTAGGACAACCTGAGTTGAAATGCTGCCCTTAATACATACTCCCTCCTTTCAGACCACCAGGCAACTCTAACATAATCATTTATAGAAAAGGCGCTAATGATGAGAAGCAATGTGGTGGAGTGGATAAAGAACCAGCCTTGGAGCCAAGAAGATGTGGGCTCAAGTTCTGACACTGACACAGATCTGTTCTGTCATAGGCAATTCTCCAAGACTCTAAGTTGAAGTCCATTAGTAGAGGGAATTTCCACATGGGAAGATCCACCCACACTAATGACGAAAGCATAGGATCCAACTCCCTTCCTCCCAAAAAAAAATAGCAGCTCATATTTACATAGAATTTAGGGGTTTCTCACAACAACCCTGTGAGGGAAGTCATATAAATGGTATCATCCCCATTTTATAGATTAGGAAACTAAGTTTCAGGGTGATTAAGTGACTTGCCCATAGTCACAAAATTAGTAAGTCAAGAAGCTTGCTCTTTTTTGTTTTTTAGTTTTCAACATTCACTTCCATAAGCTTTTGAGTTTTAAATTCTCCCCAAGATGGGTGTGCAATCTAATATAGGCTCTATATATACATTCTTATTAAACATATTTTCACATTAGTCATGTTGTAAAGAAGAATTAGAACCAATAGAAAACAAAACAAAGGGGGAAAAAAAGAGCAAATAATATGCTTCCATCTGCATTCAGACTCCATAGTTCTTTCTCTGGATGTGGAAAGCATTTTCCATCAGGAGTCTTTTGGAGATGTCTTAGATCCTTGCATTGCTGAGAAGAGCTAAGTCTATCAAAGTCACTCATCGCACAATGTTGCTGTTTCTGTGTACAATGTTCTCCCGGTTCTGCTCATTTCATTCAGCATCAGTTCATTTAAGTCTTACCACGTTTTTCTAAAGTCTGCCTGCTCATCATTTCTTATAGCACAATAATATTCCATTACATTCATATACCACAACTTGTTCAGCCATTCCCCAACTGATGGGCATCCTCTCAATTTCCAATTCTTTGACACCACAAAAGAGCTGCTATAAATATTTTTGTACATGTGGGTCCTTTTCCCATTTTTATGATCTCTTTGGGATACAAGCCCTAGAAGTGCTATTGCTGGGTCAAAGAAGAAGTTGGTTCTTGAACTTAGGTCTTTTGACTCCAAATCACTACTACTAGTATTTCAGTATTCTCATCTATAAAATGGTATAAAACATGATAATATATCTGTAGCTTAAAATATTGTTTAGAGAAAAGCACTTTGTGAACCTTAAAGATAAGCTATTGTTCTTACCACTATTATCTCGGAGATGGCTCTGGGTTCTTCAAAACTATGCCAATGGTCCTACCTAAAATGGCCCTGCCAAGCTGGAAAGGCTTCAAGAATAGGCCTAATGATAACAGGTATTGCATCTACTGTCTGAAAACTATCCTAAGAAATTTTCATTGCAAAAGAAAGAATCACTGTGACCAAAACTGATCCCGGAGAAAAGATGATGAAACTCATTTCTCTCCTCTCAACTTAGAGGCTGAGGCTTATGTAGATGGAATGAAGTATATGCTATCAATTTGTCATTCAGATTTGCTCAACTGTTTTTTAATATTACAAGGGTGGGTTCAACAAGGTGAAAGGAGAAAATATTGGAAAATTACTATGATACGAAAAACAAAAGGCTAATTTATTAAGAAAACATTTTAGGGCTTCCAGAAAAAATAACAACATTCAAGGTAGCAGTAGAGAAGTAAAGCACTTCTACACAAACTCCAAAAGATGACAATGACCCCAGAAAAAACAATGATAAGTCAGAAAACACTCAGAAATAAGATACTTCATCTAATCCTTAACCAAACAAAAACAAAAACAAAAAAATCCAGAGAGGACAAAGGCTGGTAGAAATTGATTCAGGGAAGCCAGTGCTAGTTCAGATAAATTCAGAAGCCTTTGAAGAAGGGAGGAGAGGATACAGAGTGAATGCTCACATATAGACCTGAAATCAGCCAGCACTCTACATAGGAGCTCCAGGCACATCAAGCCAATGTGAGCTTCGATAACAGGTCCATGACTTGTCAAAAAAGATACAAGGGAGGATCCAGCTTCCATGAGTCACTGAAAAGGAAGGCAGGGCTCCATAACTCTCCGACTCCTCATTGTCTGGACATGAGTACCAAATGGCTATGCAAGAGGCCTGAGACCAAAATGATGCCCAACAAGCCACTGAGGCCTGTCAGGGCCAGCACTAAAAAGAACAAGAGTAAATAGACCCTTCCTAAGTATGGTAAATAGCTCTCTAAAATCATGGGAGTGCATTCACCTATAATGGAGAACTATTAGTAGCTTTTCCAGTAAGACCAAGGGTGAAACAAAGGATATCCACTGTTATTTGATCTAGTTTTAGAAATACTAGCTATTGCAATAAAATAACTTTAAAAATCAAAGGAAGAGGCAAAGAAGAAACAAAATTATTATCATGCAGATAATAAAGGAGTCAACTTGAGAACCTTAGAGATTCAACTAAAAATTAAAACAATAATTTCAGTAAAGTAGCAAGATATAAAATAAACACCAAAAAAATCGTGTCTTTTTGTACCAACAAGACCAAGGAAAGAGAGATTTTTAAAAAAGAAAAATTCCATGCAAAGTAACTACAGAATGCATAAAATATATGGGAATCTATGTACCATGCCACACACAGGGATTATAACAGCACAACTACAATATACCCTTTAGAGAAATAAAGACAAATAATTGAAGAAGAATTTGCTGATGGCTGGGCCATGCTAATATCAGAAAAAACAATACCACCTAAATTAATTTACAGCTTCAGTGCTACACTAATCAAACTACTAAAAGATAACTTTATAAAACTGGCTAAAATAACAAAATTCATCTGGAGGAACAAGAAGTCAAGAATCTCAAAGGAAAATATAGTAGAAAAAAAGTGGGGAAAAGGCCTAGCAGTACCAGATATCAAACTATACTACAAAGCAGTAATAATCAAAAGAATTTGGTACCAGCTTTGATCAATGGAACAGATTAGATAAACAAGATTGAGACATAAATAAACATAGTAGCACAGAGTTTAATCAACCCAAATGTACTGAACGTTAGGGTAAGGATTTATTATTTGTCAAAAACTGCTGGGAAAGTTGGAAAACAATCTGGGGGAAATTAGGCTGAGAACAATTTCTCATACTATATACCACAATAAGCTCCAAATGACCCAGATACAAAAGTTCATATCATGATTAAATTGGATAAGAACAGGAGATACTTTCTAGTATAGGTAGGGGAAATGGTCTCGACCAAAAACGGGACAGAGATTAACAAAGAAAATAAAATGGAAAATTTTGGTTACATAAAATTCTAAAGGTTTTTGCAAAAACAAAAGCACTGTAGTTAAAATATTCGTAGCAAATTTCTCTGATATCTAAAATGTACAGGGAATTGATACAAATGTTAAAAACAAGAGTCATTGCCTAATAAATAAATGGTCAAAGGATATGAAAAGGTAGTTCTCAAAGGGAAGAAAACCAAGTTATCAACAACCAATGAGAAGATACTCCAATTCAGTAATACTAAGAGAAATGCAAATTAAAACAATTCTGGATTCCACCTGACATCTATCAGACTGACAAAAATGACAAAAAAAGAAAATGAATTTAGCCAAGAGACTGTGGGAGAACTGGCACAATAATGCAATGCTGGTAGAGCTGGAAACCATTCTGGAAAGCAATTGTGGAACATTACTCAAAATCGTTTCTAAACTGTTTATATCCTTTGACCACTACTAGCCACATACTCCCAAAGGGATCAAAGTCAGAGAAAGGATCCATATGTGCAAAAATATTTATAGCAGCACTTTTTATTATAACAAAGAAATGAGGGGGGAAAAAAGGGAGGTGCCCAGAAATTAGAGATGGCTAAGTAAATTATGGTATATAAATGTAATAATAGTATTATTATGCTCTAAGAAATGACAAAAGGGACATATTCAGAGAAACCTGGAAAGACTTATATGAACTGATATAAGTAAAGTGAGTAGAAACAGGAGAACAATCTATATGATGACCACAACTCCTGTGAACGAAAATATAAGTTTAAAAGACTTAAGAACTGATAAATTCAATGACTAATCATGACCCCAGAAGACTAATGCCTCACACATCTTGATGAAAAGGTGACAGACTATAGGTACAGAATAAAACAGACATTCCCAGACAGGCCCAATACAACACACAAATTGGTGGCACAATGCCACCTATTTTTCTGGCCTTCTTTGAATATGGAAATGTACATGTATACAGCTTATTTTCTAGTTCATATTAAAAAAAATTCTAATGACTGACATTTATATAGTATTTTAAAGTCAGCTAAGCACTTTAAATACCTTATCTCATTTGAGCCTCATAATAACACTTGAAATAGAAAGTATAAGTATAATCCCAGCTTTTTATACCAAGAAAGAAACTGAGGCTCAAAGAGGTTAAGGGATTTGCCAGTGGTCACAACTAATGTGTCAGAGATCAGGCCTTCCTGACTCTATCCATACTATGCCAGGCTAGGAAGGACTATGCCCCTTGCACATAGTAAGCAGATGGTTAATATATG